AGGATAACTTTTACAGGATCAGTACTGTACGGATTATCCGTGGTCATCATTGCTGCACCTGGCGAAGAAGTTCGCCCTTCCGCCGCCTCTGACTCCCCGGTCAGCAGATCAGTCCAGGTTCTGGTGGACCATATAACAGCTCTTAGCAAGGCTAATGTCTTGAAAAGAGGAGAGAGACGGTGGTTCTGTTCCATGTCCAATATGAGGTTTAAAAACCCTGTTAGCTTGGATATGTTCTTCATCACCTCTCGGTTGCACTCTTCTTTTNCAGAACAAATCAGATATTTTTTCAACAACACTGCCAAAATCCTCTTAGCCAGTGATAAAAGTAAGGCAATCTGACCTTATTCATTCACATAAATACAAAGCATCTTTCGGGGCCTCCGAAGCGCCGGTAAGCCCGTGCTAAAATCGGGGCTTGAGCAAGCAGTGCTGATTTTCAACATCAACTCAACAACAGATCAGAACTGATGTATACATTGAGCTACATATACATTTCTTATTTGTTTTTAGAATTCCATTTTTTAGTCACATCAGTAAATGCAAAGATTGCGACTTTTAGTCAAATATATATTTAATTTCAATCTGACTAATCTGGCATAAAATGCGTTTTTTAATGTGTGATTTTTGTAGTTTATTGTGTGTCAGTCTTTCATTTCTATTTCATGCACTGTACTTGCATCAATAACTTTTGTTTGGAAACATGTTTTAAAAATAAAAGTTCATTGACTGAACCATACTTTAAACTGTATGACTTTGTTTGCTTAGTAGAAACTTAATGTTCATCTTAGATTTTTTTCAGAAAGCAAAATAGCCCGTCTGTCTTTGAATTTAAAAAAATCTATCTTTTCTTTGTAATCAAGCACATTTTGACAATATCCCACTGCAGACACTGAACAGGCAACTACATACTTTTTATGCATTATGTATTTTTATTTCAAGTAATGATGTGGATAATGTGAACTTCAGATAGCAGAGAACCACCACGGGCTGCACAAAAGTGTGTTCAGTTCCATGACCAATTAAATATTTTATGCATCATTAGATCATTAACACACAGGTAATAAAAATGATTGTTCAAAAATCAGCTGCTTCCAGCTTTAAATTCTTTCAACAAAATCAAATATGTTTAAAACTTGAGATTTTGTTAAATGTCTAGCTAAGAGAAGAGTGTGCCAGCAATATAATCTTTTTGACCAAAGGTTATGCCTTTTTTTTATTGGTCAAACCCACAGAACATCTGTTATCTGCACAGACTTCAGACAAAGGATTTAGTTAATTATTTGTCAGCTGCTGTGAATATTTAAGGCTCGAACCATCACAGAAACCACAAAATATGATGTTGAGAATGGAGATCACAATGCTTTTCTCATTATTGTTGCTAATCTGCTTTCTCTCCACAGCTCAGCTTCAACCAAATGCTAACAATGAAGTTATTTCACATTTAAGGCAAACAGAATCACAGGCAGCAGATGCAGTGAATCTCTCAGACAATCAACAAACCTGCACACAAGACATCAATGCTGTGCTGAGAGAGATGAGCGCCTCGTTGGCTGGACTGAAGGTGGAGATGAGGTACCTGCAGAGAGATTATGAAGGTAACACAAGAACAGCAAAGAACACAAGATGTGTTGACATGTTAGTGTTAACATATAAATAAGTTTATATTTAACCATTCTCATTTCATTGCCACAACAGTAAAAACAAGAGAAGTGGAGCTGCTGAAACAACAGTACCAAGGTATTTATTAAGTTATTGTTATTATTAATAACAGGTTAACTTATTTGTATCTATTCATTGTACAAGTAACTACGTTTAAGCAATAGCAGTAGTGCCAAGGAACATATTAAATTCTAGAGGGACATCTGCAGATAGACAGATGATAAAGCATTAGAGATGGTAAAATGCTGTATCATATGTCTGAAATTATTTTTAAAAAGCCAACCAATTTTTTGAATGTGATCAATTCAAGGGTGTGCATTAATCAGGGGATTTTTGGATGTTTTTATATTTCACCAGTCATAGTGCCATTAGCTAATAATCCTACAGAGCTCTGATGTTTTATATTAGATTTTTGGGGGTCATCCTTGTCACTAGATATAAAACTTGCATTATATTATAAAGACACAGCCTGTATAAATGAAGCATAAATCATCTACAAGTTTTCACTTTTGCTGGATTATAGGATGGTGGGGGGGGCGACATTTTGAAGAAATGCAGCAATGTAAATATTTGTATGTAAATGTTTCATTGCATTGACATTTTTTGTAAAAATCATAAATTTATTTCTGTGATCCACACAGCTAAAACGAAAGAACTGGAGGTACAGAAGAAAGAGTTATACAGACTCTAAATTTAAGTGCTGATTAAATTAAGAGCAATTTAATCTCTTAATTTGATAAAGAATTAAATTACTTTATCAAGGTATGTAAAGTAATTGAATTCTCATATTACCACTAATATAATAGTTATATTACTGTTATAATACTCACAGAACTGACAATAAAGGATCAGCAAAGAAACCAAATGTTTGTTTTACACACATATAAAAGAAATGAATTTTACTTCTTAACTTGACAAACCTGCGACAGACTGGCGACTTGTCCAGGGTGACCCCGCCTCTCGCCCGGAACGTTAGCTGGAGAAAGGAGGCACCAGCAACCCTCCCAACCACACTAAGGGACAAGGGTGTAAAGAAAATGGATGGATGGATGGATGGATGGATGGATGGATGGATGGATGGATGGATGGATGGATGGATGGATGGATGGATGGATGGATGAATGGATGGAACTTGACACACCAGGGATCATTACTTTGTCTTCCGGGCTGATTTTGGATAAATGTAAAACAAATTATATAATTAATCTACAAATCAAATATTAATTTCTGTTCTTTTGCTTTGTATAATTTCAGCTCATGCAGAGGAACTGCTCAGAGTTCAAACCAGGGCAAACGGCACTGAAACCAAAGTGGAGGCTCTGAGGAGAGAAGGAGAAGGTTTGTGAGTTCAGAAATAAACTCACTATTAAATCAAATCAAAAGTTTATTTGTATAGCACATTTCAGCAGCAAGGCCTTTTAAAGTGCATAACAAACACAAAACCACAAAGTCATGCAACATAGAATCAACAATCAAAACATTACATTAAGTCAAATGCCATTGATAAATTCATAATTGATTACGTTTGTAATATAACTCTAAACAGGTGGGTTTTTAGTTGAGATTTAAAGGAAGTCAGTGTTTCAGCTGTTTTACAGTTTTCTGGAAGTGGCAACAATCATATTTGTTAAAAAATGTTACATTTGTTTAAAATAAAGAATGCGTTGCTGTTGTTAAAAATCTGGCAAAATATAAAATTTTGGATTCTTCCTTTTGATTCAAAAAGAATCAGAGTGCACTGGATAAATTCATGCTGGATCCTAATATTTAC